TCCCTCCCCTGTTTGTTAGAATTGTATTTTATTTGAATAATTTTCATTTCCAGTTTTATATAGTATATTTGCATTATGAATTTGTATTGTATTTTTGGACTATAATTGTATAATTTAAATACACATTCATAAAGATAGAAATTTGTTCTATAGACTTGTATTATAAACTTGCATTATCGGTCAGTTTAATATTTATCTCTACTTTATTCTCAAATATAAGGAGTTGAAAATAGTCTCTGGTTACGGACGGTTAGAGATACCATTGCTCGGTATATAGTATAGAGTTCTATAGCTTTGTGCGTCGATAAATACATGCTTAAGAATAGAGAGAGAGGTGTATCTGGATGGATACATACTTAAGAAAATACAGAGAGAGTTGTATCTGGATTGATACAAACTTAAGAATAGAGAGAGAGTTGTATCTGGATTGATACATACTTAAGAATACTGCGAGAGTTGTATCTGGATTGATACATACTTATGAATACAGAGAGAGTTGTATCTGGGTTGATACATACTTATGAATACAGAGAGAGTTGTTTCTGGATTGATACAAACTTAAGAATAGAGAGGGAGTTGTATCTGAATTGATACATACTTAAGAATACTGCGAGAGTTGTATCTGGATTGATACATACTTAAGAATACTGCGAGAGTTGTATCTGGATTGATACATACTTATGAATACAGAGAGAGTTGTATCTGGATTGATACAAACTTAAGAATAGAGAGAGAGTTGTATCTGAATTGATACATACTTAAGAATACTGTGAGAGTTGTATCTGGATTGATACATACTTAAGAATACAGAATTGTATCTGGATTGATACATACTTAAGAATACAGAGAGTTGTATATGGATTGATACATTCTTAAAGAACTATTGAAGTAAGGCATTTGTTACATGTTTAGTAAGGTTAACAGCATAGTAGAATGGTAATAGTGCATTGCAGCGTAATACTATAATGTACAATTTTATACAGATTACAATAAAGTTTGTGGAATTTAAATCCACAGAACTCTAATGTTTAGAACAAAAGTATTAAATAATTAAATAACATTTTTACTACAAATTAGTTTTTAGAATAATTTTGTAGGGTTCTAATAAGGGACTGCAAAGCAGAATAATATTGCAAAAGTGTTTTTTTGTAAATTATATTGTTAAAATGTATTTCAAAATTATATTGCATAATTATAATATTGCAACGTTATTTTGTGGAATCTTTTAGCAGAACTTATTTCAGAATTGTTTATTCAGCTGCAGTGTAGAATAGTTTTATTATTGCAGAAACGCAAATTAACGTTTGCTGACAAGAGTTAGACTTGTAGACATTTTTAATCAAAGGATTTTATATATAAATATATATAAATGGATAATATATATACAGAGAATATATGTATCTAGCTTAGATTTAACTTTCCTTTCCTATTCAACAAAATGTTCCAGGAATTTGAATAAGGAGGAAAATACTGTAACCACCACCTACAGAAGCCGCCTAAAATGATCAGATTTCAGAAAGAGAAATTCCAGGCCCATGCAGAATCAAATTCACAACTTCCGGCGAATAGAATAAGGATCAGTTGTAAATCAGGAGAGGATGAAAAAATTCTCCCGACTCCCCATGGTGTCATGACGGACAATCTAATTCCTGAGAAGCAGTCAATCTCAAGGGCGAAACTTGGTTAAAGAAAGATCTGCACAGGAAACCCGAGCCTGTGTATATAGACGGCTTTCAAGCCCAGAATACAAGAAGATCTTAGGAAACCCAAACCTGCGACTCTGGATGGAGAAGAGTACAGGAAACCCATTACTGAGCTCACAGGAAACCTAACATGTGACTCTGGATGGAGAAGAGTACAGGAAACCCATTACTGAGCTCAAAGGAAACCCAACCTGTGACTCTGGATGGAGAAGAGTACAGGAAACCCATTACTAAGCTCACAGGAAACCTAACATGTGACTCTGGATGGAGAAGAGTATAGGAAACCTATCACTGAGCACACAGGAAACCCATCCTGTGACTCTGAATGAAGAATATCCAGGAAACCCAACCTGTGGAGCTAAGGAAACTGTAGTAGCAGTATATATCTACATCCATTTATTTCTTTGTTTCTCTTATTTGTTTCACTTTAAATAGAAATGTTCAACTATTTTGTTCTTTTATTGGTGCGAGACTTGATGAATACTAGAATATTGATATCCCCCTTTGGGTGATTCCTTTCTTCTTTAACAATACGCAAACAGAAGTTGATGGTGGGGGGGGGGAGTATAAATAAGAAGGAACTATAAAGTTCATATTATACGCTTAGTAGGATTCTAAGGACAGGTATTAAAGGGTTTTCCAACAACCCCACAGACAGAAGTCCTTGTTCATGAAACCAGAATGATCTGATACTTTTTGTCAAAACAATCATTTTCTGGCAGAAAACAAAACTATTTGTTGTAAAGGAGCTGATTACTCACCATCAACTATATATTTTCAAATCCTTATATCTTTGCAACCTAATGACGTATACTTTGAAATTCAAGAGTATAAATTATAAATGATATAAAAGTGAAAGTTTTAAATATCAAAGGTTGCCACCATTAGGTGACAAAGATATAGGGATTTGTTTTGAACAAATAAAAAAATTTTACCGGTCTAAACAAATTAAGGTTACAGAAATGCTTGGTTCTTGGCAGAAATAATGTAACTTTATTTTGAAAAATATGGTACAATGTTTATTCTTTTTAAATAAGTAAATAATTTCATGAATATATAGAGTTAAATGAGCACATATATCCAGGCCGCTAAGAAAAGTTGCATCAAGACTGGATCGACATAAAGTTTGTGCAACCCTCTGGCCTTTGATTTTACCTCATCACTAACTAACGTATATTTTTATTCAGCCTTTTTAAGAACTGAAAAGCTTTAAATTTGAAGAAAATGGAAAGGTTAAAGAGAAGGGATATTAATGATAAAATTGTAATATATCAGACCCAACTATGATGTTTTATAGATTTAATATAATCGATACCTTCTTGATATCCTTTAGCTCTGCTTCAGCTGCATCTAGTTTCTGGCAGAGATCATTCCTCTGGTTCTCATACCTCTCCCAGGCACTCACATTATCTACAGCACAGTACAGTTGGATAAAACTTCAAAGTTTCCTTTTTGGGGTCTTAACATTTGTGTAGATTTTGACTTTTAGAGATTCGAAAAAAATTGAGAATATAAACAAACTGAATAAAATAATATTTCATAACAAAAATATTGATATTTACAAAACTGCCTAACCCCATTCGTGAAACCCGGGGTTTAAAACTAGTTTTCAGAACAATACCCTGTCTTAAGTTTTGGGCTCAGAGTACACTGGTGCAGATATATAGAAAATGAACGTAAAGCTGAATATGCATGTGATTATTATGTATGCAATTTTAATAATAAAACTCATAATGAAGTGGTAAAGATAACAATGTGTTAATGATAAAGATGATGATAATAATGATGATAATGATGATAATGATGATAATGGTAATATAATGATGATGATGATGATAATGATGATAATGATGATAATGATGATAATGATGATAATGATGATAATGATGATAATGATGATAATATGATAATGATGATAATGATGATAATGATGATAATGATAAAAATGATGATAAGGATAATATAATGATGATAATGATGATAATGATGATAATGATGATAATGATGATAATGATGATAATGATGATAATGATGATAATGATGATAATATGATAATGATGATAATGATGATAATGATGATAATGATAAAAATGATGATAAGGATAATATAATGATGATAATGATGATAATGATGATAATGATGATAATGATGATAATGATGATAATGATGATAATGATGATAATGATGATAATGATGATGAAATGATGATAATGATGAAATGATGATAATGATGAAATGATAATAATGATGAAATGATGATAATGATGATAATGATGACCCAAAAGTACCTCTAAGTCTGTTAAGCCTGTCTAGAGCTAAATTGTTAGTTTCATCCCAAATAGTCTTCATGTTTCCCACTTCTCTATGTTATTTATTAAATTTATCTATTTTACTTTAAATAAAATCCCCCCCGTTCTCCCCCCAAATTGAGAATATGTTTACCATCAAACAAAATTAAAAAAGGAAATTCAGTTATTTTAAAAAATAATAAATTTTTAAGAGCAACCTTAATTTTTTCTTTCATGCTTTGTTTTCTTGCTTAACATTATTTGAAAACCAAATTATATAAAATTCATAATAATATCCTTGCTAGAAATGCCGGGCTCTTTGGGTCATCCTTTAGTTTGGTTCCTTTAGTTATCAGATCATTGATAACCTAGAAATATCCCATTATTGATCACCTAGAAATATTAGATCATTGATCACCTAGGAATATCAGATCATTCATGACCTAGAAATGTCGGATCATTGAATACCTATAGAAATAACAGATCATTGGTCACCTAGAAATGTGAGATCATTGAATACGTAGGAATATCAGATCATTGATCACCAAGAAATATCAAATCATTGATCATCCTAGACATATTAAATTATTGATCATCAAGAAATATGAGATCATTTATCACCTAGATATATAAGATCATTAATCACCCAGAAATATCAATCATTGCATATCCAGAAATATCAGATCATTGATATATGATAACCCAGATAAGACAATTGATCACCTAGAAATGCCAGATCATAAATCACCTATAAATTTCAGGTAATTGATTACCCAGAAATAACAGATCATTGATTACATAAAAATATTAGATCATTGATCACTTTTAAATATTTTAAGCTTTTCTTTTCACTTTATTATGAAATAAAAAATGAAAAATGTAAAATATTTGGTGAGGTTGGCATTTGGAAATTTGTAACATTTGTACATTTATTCATGGTTATATGTCTTAAAATCTATTCATGCAAACCTTTCTCTTTTTATCAAGTTGATCCAAAACCTTTTCTTGTCTTTCTATCAGATCTTCAGTTTCTCCAGCACTGTTACTGTTTATATCCCTAGGTGCAGACAACGTTAATTATAATATCTCATGCTTTGGAAATGAATTAAAATATGAAAATACTGAATACTAGAAGATTTATATAGATGGGTAGGTAGGTAGTAAGTTGGCAGGTAGGTATTTAGGTAGGTAGGTAATGAGTAAGTAAGGTTAATAGGTAGGAAATCTGGGAGGTAGGTAAACAGGTAGGTAGGCAGGAATATAGGTAAGATGTAGGTATAGGTAAGCGGGTAGATAGATAGGCAAGTAGGTAGGCAGGGAGGTTGGTAGGCAGGGAGGGAGGTAGGTAGAGGGGAAGGTTGAAAGGCAAATACACATGAAAGAGTTTGTGTAATCTAAATTCTCAATAAGTTCATTATAAAAATTGGAATTTAAAATTGAAGGTTTTGAAAGTAATATTAATATTGAAACAGAATTAATGAATAGGTGCTATTGAACAGTACAGTTAAATTTATTATAGAGAAGAAAATGCAAAAAAAGATGAATTTTTCTTTTTTCATCAAACTAATTTTAGCAAATAAAAATTTGAAGTTTTACATAAATCCATTTTTCTCCAGATTAGGATTGGAAATGCCAATCGAGAATTGGGGGGAAGGATACTAGAATGTGTTTTAAATTGACAAAAAAAAGAAGAGGGGAGGGCTGGGTACTTCAGCCAAAAACGATAAAGCAAATCATGAAAATCTGCAAGCTTAGAAGTTTAAAATTGAAAGGATTTAGAACTGACCTGGTTGCAAGGACTTTTTTTTCAACCAGCCAATCCATATGAGGGGATAACTCATCCGTAAACTAAAAGTAGATTATTTGGGAACGTTTTTGTCCAACTTTTATACTATTTTTAAATATTTCATGGTTAGAAATTTGCTTCATTAAAATATGATTTGTAAACTTTTTTCTCTACCATCCACTCCATATGGTGGGATAATTAATTCGTTAACTAAAAATAGATTATTTGGGAATGTTTTTGTACAATTTTTATACTATTTTTAAATATTTCATGGTTAGAAATTTGCTTCATTAAAATATAATTTGTAAACTTTTTTCTCAATCTTCCACTCCATATGGTGGGATAATTAATTCGTTAACTAAAAATAGATTTAGTTTTTTGAACTGGTTTTGTCCAATTTTTGGCATTATTGTTTAACTTTGTCTGGAACTGTTTTTATTCTACATTTTTATTTGTACGTGGAAATACATTGTGTTTTTGCCACAAACTCTGATTTTCTTTTCCCAATACCTTTGCAACCCTATTTCAAAGACCTTAGATATTTCAAACTATTAATTTTGTTACATCAAATAATCTCAGTTTGAAACATTTTAGGTTTACACCATCAGGTTGCAAAGATATAGGGATTAGCAAATTTGAGTTTGTGGCAAAGCCTCAATTCCATTACTAGAGTAAAATTGTAATCTAATCTTGAAACTGAAATTGAATGTAATGTTTAAAGAATACTCAATTCTTGACTGCAAAATATTTTTCTGAAATATTCAATTTGATCAAATTTTAAACTCTGCTCAGTTTAGGTTAAATATTGTAGTTTACGTACTTTACTAAATGGAATATGTCGAAACTTTCTATCAATATTTATTCTATTTCTCTGATTTAGAAATTCTCCTTTCAAATTGACATGGATAAATTTGTTCTTCTAGTATAGTTACACTGTCCCAAACTCAAATATTCTATAGTCATTATCATTCTCATTATCGTTTTACAATTTGTAAATAAGTACGCTGAATTATGTTTATTTTATATATTTTTTGAAATTTCACACTTTTTTGATTGTTTTTCGTTGTTTGTTTGTTTACTTTTCTAAACTTGAATCAATTTGGAAAAAATACAAAGAAATTTTCTAGATATAAAAAATATAGCAGTATTAAAGGATTCCATCGTGTTTTGCGTTCACAATTTGTTGCGTTCTTCTTTTATGTTATTTCTTAAACTTTCTTTTAACAGTAATTAATTTTGCTTCGTATACAAAATAAACAAGTAAGATTTTCCAAGGCCACACAAATTTTCTTGGTTTTAACCGTTTACAGTGGCAAACTTTATATTATAAGGTTTGGAAATGTAGAATATGTCAATTTGCGTCAAGTAATACATCAGCTGCGATGAGTTCATACTGTACGCAGCGTACACCGCGTTTAACAGGAATTCAAGTGGTTTTCAAGAGATTCAAACACTGAGCTCTTTTTATGAATGCTCACTTTGTTTCAAATATGAAAAGAACTCCCCGCTCCACCTCTGTACACATCTGCTGAACCCCTGGAGGTAAAATATTTAATCTGAAATAAACCCAACCTTCTCCGATATTGATAGAGAACAGATGTGAAGGATATTAAACCAGCGCTTTAAACTTTATATTTAGAGAGAAGATATAAAATATAAATATAATATAAATAATGTTTTTCTGCTTAAGGAACTTATTGCTCGCCTAAACTCTGATTCAATAATTCTATATTCATATTCATATTTTTATTCAACTACAAAGCACGAGATAATACAAATAAAAAAATTTTGATTCATCTAGGTCGTCCTCACATTTTCTAAGCTGGTTTTTTCTCCTTCTCTTCTTGCTTCTGTTGTTTGAGCTCTGATATCTCCTTGCTCAGTATAACCACAATTTCAACTAAATGGTTTAGAATTGTACTAAAACTAGATTTTTCAGGTTGTATATCAGTCTCAGAACCAATTCCTAGATCGGACAGGTTTTTGAGAATAGAATCTAGGTTCAATTTCTATTTCTGGGTGATTTTCTGACTTGTTATTTTCCTTGGAGTTAGTAGCCCTTGGAGGTTTTTCATGGTTTGCATTTTTCCTACCAGCCATTTTATACACCCTGTATAACTTGTTGACTGAACTATCTATACATGAACTTATAGATAATTAGTGCCAGATGACCGAGCGCACACACACACACTCACGTCTTGTCACGGTGAAGGGTAAGAACTAACTTCACAACCTTCTATATGATTTAAACTCACACACTGTTTGTGGAATACCTAACGTTGTGCTAAACCTATCGAAATAAACAGGTTTTTAAATTCGATATTAAGAACGACTTGTAAGGGCTCTTTATAAAGTGCATAAAGGGGTTATTTCACTATTTCTAAAAGTTTGTCGAATGGACTCTGATAAAATACGTGTAAAGTCCCTTTAATTAACCTGATAGGCTTTCCAGAGAGAATCCACAACCAACTTGGTCTCACTAACTTTAGGAATCAGTCTTCCATACCTACAGATAAATCATTTAAAGGAATTTTTTCAAAGGAATTGAGTCTTTGGTACAAACTCTGGATTTAAAATCCCTATATCTTTGGAACCCAATGTCGTACATCTTTGTACATCTTTGATATTTCAAACTTACATCATTTGATCTAACAGAATTCATATTTTGAAATATCTAAGGTCTACAATATTGGAATTCAAAGATATACGGTATAGAAAAGCAGAGTTTGTTGCAAAGACTCAATATCTTTTAGGTAATTTGGGAGCTACTAGCTATTGGTCAGTTTTATTTCTGTAGAGGTAGTGTGGAACAATTTATTATTCTGATTCACATGGAAACCAACAAAAATCTTTGCCCATTGATCAAGAAAGTTTTGCTTTAAAGGGAGAGACATTGTAGTTGAGCTGAGTGTGCAATACTGTAGAGAAATTGTTAGGATTAATTTGAGACTTATGAAATGTTTTTACGGTGTATCATTCATTCAAAATTGACAATGGACGGATTTTAAAGATTGTATTGTGCTCTTGCGGAACAATTGCCGTAAAAATTACTGGTATCTAAAAATGAATCTAACATTTTTCTCTACAATATTGCACTCTCAGCTCAACTGCCATGTTGAGGCGGTCTCTTCCTGTAACTAATATATCATATTTCTAAAATTGCATCGTAAAAAATCTAGATATCTGTGATTTGTGAAACCTTTAAAGTTCTAGTTTTAATACTCTGATAAATTGGTATGATTGGAAGATTTGGGTTCATGAAAGGAAAAGAATTTTTAAAGTTCATTCAATAAACTTAGACATAAGAGGTCGTTCATACATGGAAATGTACATACAACTTACATATTAATTGCGTCTAAACTTAATAAAAATATTTTTTTTATTGAAGTAGATTTTGTTTATGAAAATAAGGTTTTAAGAGAAGATAGAACTATTTTTTTGTATAAGGAGTTTGACTGAAAAATCATATCTGCATAAACTCGAGCAACCTTTGATAATTTTCACAGATTTTGGGAGAGCAGACCTATCGAGAGAAGTGATAGAAACCCAATTTTTGCAACAAAATCTATTTTTCTAATCCCTATAACTTTGCAACCTTATGGTGTGAACCTTGGGTATTTTAAAATTAGATTATTAAACTTATCAAAGGTCCACGACATCATGGGTCGCAAAGATGTTTGTGCTGATATCTCAGCTCCTTTATCTTACTTTGTGTTTAAAAACAAACTTTTGATAGCTAGTGATCCTGTTACTTGTACTTATTTTGATAGCTAGTGATCCTGTTACTTGTACTTATTTTGATAGCTAGTGATCGTGTTACTTGTACTTATTTTGATAGCTAGTGATCGTTACTTGTACTTATTTTTAGGTAAAATTGATTAAATATAAACATAGAAAAAACTGAATTTATTTTCAACATTTAGAATTGAATTATCATAATGTATCTACTTTCATGTATAAATATATAAAAGAAAAACTTCCTTCGTCTTTTAATGGAATGTTTGCTCCATTTGTAGAACCTAATAGGACACAAAGTTTTAAATTGGAATTAATAAGAAACAAATATCTTAAACCTTTTCCAAAAATATTTCTCACGAGAATTTGGAATAGTGTTCCAATGAATATTAAATGTTTTATCAGTACTTAGTTTCAAAACGAATATGAAAAAGTATCTGGCTTCTAAATATAAGGAATTTAAATGTAAAAACAGGAACTGCTATACTCATGTAATTTGAAAATCTTGTAAACCACTCTGTAACATATTATCTACAAAAATTGGATTTTTTAGTGCTGGGGTTTCTCCTTCTCTTCCCTTTTTCCCTTTGCTATTCAAACATCCTTCTTTTTTTTCCTTTTTTTAAAAATTACTTTGTGAATTGTGTAATGTATTCGTTATTTGTTAATTTAAAAGAATAAAATGTATCTATAAAACTTTGGAGAACCAGAAATGGTTAGGCTGTAGCCCTGGCTAATAATTGTTTAGTAAAATAATTATAAAATGTAAAATGTATTTATTATAATGTTAGCCGAAATATATATCTACCTATCTATCTATGATAAATATAAACGAGATAAGTCTAACCTTTCTAGAAGTTCTGTGAGCTTCTTATCCTCATCTCCTTTAGCTTTCTGATCTCTAAACACAAAACAATACAACCCTTCCCCTATCCATCCTGGTTTAAAGAGATATTTAATACCCAAAGGAATTGAGCCTTTGTAACAAACTCTGATTTGCTAATACCTATATTTTTTCCACCTGATGATGGTGGAAACCTTTGATATTTCAAACTTAGATTTTTTCATCTAACAGAATTCATAGTTTGAAATATCTAAGGTCTACAGCATTGGGTTACAAAGAGATTAGAAAATCTTATTTTGTGACAAATACTCAATTCCTTTGACATCAGTAATATTATTTAAAGTAAAGTAAACTTATTCAGATCAAGAAGTTACTGAAGTTCTACTAACACGACATAAACCGCATGGGAACTTTCTAATGGAATAAATGGGTTAAATTCACTATCTTAGGATAGTTTGAAGATTAACCGATCTCTTCTACGTTAGATCCTAAAATTTAAAAGTTTCCAGCTCAGAAACCTGGGATGCGTTAATCAAAAAATGTTTATAGATTTTTGGTCTCAAGTCACAGATCACTGGTTTGAGTTTTATACACCAGCAAATATCTTTATCGATATTTTTCCTCATTTCAGAGGTTGGGCCTTTTCTATTGTTAATTCATTCAAAAAGCTTTAATCCGTATCGCTGCGGTCTCTCAAATAAAGCTTTAATCCGTATCGCCGCGGTCTCTCAAATAAAGTTACTTCCTTTAGGATATCTCTAAAAGTGTTGAAAAGAAGTAGCTACAAAAGATTATTCTCTTTCCAAATGTGAAATCACTAAAATACGAATCAGCTGTTTATAAGAATTAGAGATGATTAATCGCTTCAAATCAATAGTTCGCTGTAAATATCTAGTTTGGGCATTGTGGATAACTGCTTTCTCATACAAATGATCCAATCTCTGAAATCTTTGAAGGAATTTAAATAATCTAAATGTAAAATCTAAATGAATAAGCTAAATGGTCAAACTAAATGAATAAATACATGGAAAAACTAAATGGGTAACCTAAATAAATAAACTAAATGAATAAACTAAATGAATAAATTAAATGAATAAACTACATGAATAAACTAAATGAATAAACTAAAAGAATAAATAAATGGATAAACTAAATGAATAATCTAAATGAATAAACTAAATTAATAAACTTAATGGATAAACAAAATGAATAAACTAAATGAACAAATAAATGGATAACCTTAATGGGCAAACTAAATGAATGAACTAAATGGATAAACTAAATAAATAAACTAAATAATTAAACTAATAGATAAACTAAATAAATAAACTAAATAATTAAACTAATAGATAAACTAAATAAATAAACTAAATAAATAAACTAAATAATTAAACTAATAAATAAACTAAATTAATAAATTAAAAGGACAAACTAGAGGAATAAACTAGAAGAATAAACTAGAAGAATAAACTAAATTAATAAACTAAAAGGACAAACTAGAAGAATAAACTAGAAGAATAAACTAAATGAATAAACTAAAAGGAAAAACTATAAGAATAAACTAGAAGAATAAACTAAATAAATAAACTGAAAGGAAAAACTATAACAATAAAATAGAAGAATAAACTAAATGAATAAACTAAAAGGAAAAACTATAAGAATAAACTAGAAGAATAAACTAAATGAATAAACTAAAAGGACAAACTAAAAGAATAAACTAAATGAATAAACTAAAAGGACAAACTAGAAGAATAAACTAAATGAATAAACTAAAAGGACAAAATAGAGGAATAACTAGAGGAATAAACTCTACGACTGAATAGTTGATAAAATATTACTTGTCTCCCATGAGGGTCTCCTTGGTGCTCTCCAACCAGTCTTTCACCTCACTCTGCTCAAGGTTCTTAGCCAGGCCCTGTACAGAGTAAATTAAGTGCATAACATACAGTGTAGTACATGTTTTAGAACAGGATAAACCTAGATGCTTATTGAATTATTCTTAAAATTATGGCTGCAACATCCATACTTGATTATTGATTATGATGTTTAAAGGAAGATAGAAATGAATGTTTGTTTATCAGAATTTATAAAGTAAAAATATTGCAAGAATTTTATAAAAAAAAAAGGTTTGCTCACATTATTTTTTATGTGGAGTATGACTATCTGAAGGTTTTGTATCATGTAACATATAGATAGTAATATGTTCAGTATGCAGTTTAAATTTTTAACTGTATTTATAACATTTTAAATACATCTATGTTATGAACACTGTGTCTGATATTAGCCCTATTTCTTCTAAGGAACTGTATGCCATATTGAAATGTGCACAGTGTAAGGCAAATGTACAATGTACATGTAAATAATATGATTTTGAAATTCAGTTAATCCTATTTCTGTTCCCTTCGCAGGAATAGGGTTAATATCATACAATGCATTATATACCATACAGTTATATAATTGTGGGTATTCATATATTCCAATATTATAGACAGCACTGTCAACTAGACAGAAGGAAATTTATACGACATTATTGATCTGACTTCTTCACCTCGTAAGAAAAGAAAATTTATCCTAGCTGAAAACTTTAGAATGGTGGACATCGAGATCAATGCTTGATCTCCTTGTTTTACTAATCCCGAGATTAAGTTAATACGCATTTGATATCAAAGAAAGAAGTTTAAAATTAAACCAATCAGCGTGTCATGTTAAGATGCGCCCTTTAACTTTTAAAAAACCGTTTTTTTGCGCATTTCTAGTGTTGATGATGTCTTATCAATTGAACTAAAGATCGATTGAACGAACGTAAGTTTTGGATTAATGTTTAATTAGACTAACGTTCAAAATGTCTATAGTCCTTAAATGTGATAAAATATATTTTTAATAAGTTCATATTAACATGATTAAATTTATATTTGTTTAAATGCTCTAAATGCCCGCTTGTGAACTTTAGTTCAATCGGATATATTCCAATCGATTCAGCATAGTATCTGTAATTGTTATCAAAAGTGTGTCAATTGGATACTCAGATTAAGTAATCGGGATTAGGGATATCTAATGGATGCTCAGATTAAGTAATCGGGATTAGGGATATCTCATGGATACTCAGATTAAGTAATCGGGATTAGGGATATCTCATTCTAAAGTTTTCAGCTCCGGTGACATACTATAGAAACTCAAAACATTTTGGTTATTCTCAACGGCGCTTCATTAGGAGGATTTCTCTAGGAAAACATATAATATTCAATATTTACTTCTACTGAGACTACAGTGAGTTTGATGCAAGAGTGTATAACGTATCCATGAATTAGTTGCTTGATTGAGACGCAAATGAGAAATGTCGATTAAAGTATAAAATTTATCCAATTAAGGTTTCCCTAGCTGTTAGCATAAGATCCGTTAATCTTCATTATTTCAGGATAAGACTGTGAGATACAAACACAGTACAATAATAGATATATTTATCTGATGATTTAATTTTCATTTCTAGAAGGTGTCGTTCAAAGCTTTATTTTGATGTAAAATTATTTAGAAAATTCTTTTCTTAATCTTTATCAATCTAAAATTGTCCTATTCACCATTTAAAACCAGATATCTGAAGTTTAATGTGTACACTCCGTAAATTTAAAATCCTAATGATCTTCAACGGAGCGTTTTAAGAGATGAATACTATTATTTTTGAAACTTATTTTCTAAATTAATCATAATTTCCAACATATTTCAAATTATTCTCAAATAATAATTTTTGCAATTGGTTTTTAGTACAATAAGTTTTCTCGATCAGCAATACAGGTTTTAATTTGAAATAAGATTTTCGAATATTTGATATAAAATTACAAAAATGTAAGATGTAAGCACAGTGGAGTGCATGAACGTTAAAAAAATCCCCATGTGCTGGAAGTTAAAAACCCTTACCACTGTTTCCTTTGGAGTCATCCTGTACAATGTACGCTTTCACAAATTGTACAGGACTTAAGTGAAGCATGCATTTCTGTTTATTTATTTTTTCTTAATTTTGACAACATGGGAATTTGTTGAAATGTACACACGGTTTCTTAAACATATAGTTTAGTATTTACGAAACAATGTCTGGTTTTAAACATTAACTGTGGATTTCTAATTCTTTTTCAACCAAATCATGGAGCAGAAGATAAAATTCCTCTTGAACATATAGAAACAGTTAAAGTTGAAACCAACTTTTCAAAAAAGAATGGAATATTTGTCTTCTATTCCTTTAGTCTTAAAAAAAATATAAATTCATACACCATCATAAATCTTCATTGTGGAAAAATGAAAGAATTCTAAAAAATAAATCGATTTTACTGACTGCATGAGCTTCAAATATTTTAGTTGTAAAGTAAATACAACCACCTTCCATTAAAAACCCGCTAACACGAATATCTTTCCAAACACTGGTTTTTACTTATAATTTCATTATTTTGTTTTGTTTTACACAAAAAAAGAAAAATTTGAGGAGTTAAAAAAACTAGTAAAAATCTCTTTTATTAGAAAAATTGTATCTTCAAAAAAAAATTACTACTGGTGCTTTATACCGAAAATTCCCCATAGATTCAACCCTTACTTTAACCAAATAAATTATTCATAAAATGTGTTTTCATATTTTTGTATATGACCCTATGGTACTGTTGGTTGTACACTGGTTGCACTGTGTGGTGTGTAGTGTACACCATTACATTATATCTAATGTCTGAAAACATTGTGTTCTCCATTAAAGTTTAATAGTATTCAGCAACTACGGAAATTCTCTTTCTTATCTTTCCAGGACTCTATTAGGGTAGAAGGGTTCTCTCAAGAGAGAAGAAGTGAGGGGAGGGATGGATAGGGATGAAAGGAAGAAATGTGATGGAAGAAGTGAGGAGAGGGATGGATAGGGATGAAAGGAAGAAATGTGATAGAAGAAGTGATGGGAGGGATGGATAGGGATGAAAGGAAGAAATGTGAGGGAAGAAGTGATGGGAGGGATGGATAGGGATGAAAGGAAGAAATGTGAGGGAAGAAGTGAGGGTAGAGATGAATATGGATGAATGGAAGAAATGTGAGGTATCCTACCGTGAACACATCCTTGACTTTTGCAAATTCGTTGGAGGTGTAGATTTTATCCGCCATCACCTAAACAGTGAACAGTTGGAGGTGTAGATTTTATATGCCATCACCTAAACAATAAACAATTGGAGATGTAGATTTTATCCGCCATCACCTAAACAGTAAACAGTTGAAGGTGTAGATTTTATCCGCCATCACCTAAACAGTAAACAGTTGGAGGTGTAGATTTTATCCGCCATCACCTAAACAGTAAAGTTGAAGGTGTAGATTTTATCCGCCATCACCTAAACAGTAAACAGTTGGAGGTGTAGATTTTATCCGCCATCACCTAAACAGTAAACAGTTGGAGGTGTAGATTTTATCCGCCATCACCTAAACAGTAACACTAGGTTTAGATCTAGCTATCTATTTCAATCGGCGGTTATTGAAGTTGTGTGTCATATTTATTGTGCATAGTTCTTTTACTCATTAGGGCGTTTTTCTAAATGCATTTCCTAACCTCTCCAATTGATTTCTCAGTTTTATCCATAACTTCAACCATCTTCTGACTTCTTGAATCATAAACATCCTAGAATCATTAAAATATTTCAGAATTATAAACAATCATTTATCATTTATATTTCCCTAATCGTATATGTTTTTTCTTCGCAGTTGTCCCTTTTCGGGGTATTATGAATAAAATAACATCCAAATCAAAAATCGCGTATCTTCTATTTGCGGCTCAACTTTTTCGTGAAATTAGGAAATAATTTTAAATGATTTTTCCAAGTTAAAAAGAAAAATATCTACCTTTATAAAGGCGTAGTTTTCCTGCCAGAACGTCATGTTTAGGGGGTTTGTCTACTCTGAAACTATAGAAATATTTCAGAATGAAAGAAAATAAAAAAAACCCCGACCTTGATTGTTTAAATCCTCTAGAATTTAAGATGCTCAAATTTCAAGGGCACTTTTCCTCTCTCTTTTTTGTAATAATTTTATCTTGTTCTTTTAAATGTGAGTATTTAAAATTGCTATGTGTTTATTCGTATGTATTCAACCTCTACTTTTAGAGGTTTTTAAATATTTTCTCCTGAAACACTTAATTTTGTAAGTTTTTGCTATATTTCATAAATAAATAATTTTTTACTTTACTTTACTTTATTCGAAGAACCTCACAGTATTTCAATTTTTATTTATCTACAGATATATATTTTGCTTGTCTGTTTGTTTGTTTGTATTCAATAAACGTCATATTTTGTGTGGGACCTCACATGACCCCAGGGAAGGTTTATAAATGATCAAAATTTCAAAAATTTTTGCTTAAAAGTTTTTCATTTTTGTAAAATTTTTTAAATGCGCGAAAAAATCTTATTAAATCCACAAACTTTTTTGTTTTGCTTTAAACTGTATAAAGAGAAGATGCTCACAAGCCACAATTAAAAGTTGAAATAGAATTTGGGCGCCAAGAGCCCTAAAAGTCTAAAAGTCTAGTAAAATACAAATAGCTGAAAGATAAAAAAGATGCGAACATTTTCCTTACAAATATTCGTAAACTTTCATAAAATAAATTTAGAAAATTTTACTATTTATAAATATTCATATTTATATTTTTATATGATACTAGCTGCAGGGCCTATAACACAACCCCGACCACCCATGAGTGTCCACAAAAAATTTCAGCCCAATCGGTCCAGTCGTTTGGCCTGCTATGGACAACATATACATATATATACGAATGTATATTATATAGATATTCTTAAAATATATTTGCCCGATCGGTTTAGCCGTGTCGTTGTTTACTGAATAAAGACAAAACAAAGGTTTAATACTGAAATAGAAGAAGTTAACGACCTAACTTAATTGAATAAGAAGTTTGGAGAGATATATATTCTAATTAAGCCTGAGATTTATAAAAACAGAGGAATTCGGAGAGGAGGGTGAGGCGGGTGTCATAAATATGTTTATTCTAAATTCAAATTAAATGCTAAATATAATTTTGGAAGAAATCTGTTTAAGGAACTATTGTTAATTATGTATTAAGATTTTTTTACGAAACATTTTGATATACATTATACAATACATTCTAAAGTACATTGTTCGACACGTATGCCGCAATGTACAATACATTACATTTTATAAAACAAAATCAATACATTTTACATTAGATTTTACAATACATTATCAAATTATTATGCAATACATTTCAGGAAGCATTTACATCTGATATTGACTTCATTCCCAGGAACTGAAAACTTGCTTCCAACTTTTATGTTAAAATCATTTTATCATTGCAACCTGAAGACGTAGAACTTTGATATTTCAAAACATTAACTTAATTTAAATAGTCAAAGTTTGAAATATTATAAATCTACACGTCATTAAGTTCTGCAAATATATAGGAATTCTAAAATTACAGTTTTTATATAATAATTATAGATATATTTCACGTGGATTTAACGGTTCTGTCAATATTTCAGAAAATTGTGACTTTCTATAACACATGCATTTTTATAGCTTTTTATCTTAAATAACAGTCTCACAAAGTTAATATTAAAGCCGGAAATATGTAAATATTTTCAAAAGCGTTTTTCTCAATTGTTTCTGGTCGTGACTTGACAGAGTGTGTCTAGTAGAAATATCTTTATAGAAAGCAGTAGGGGGAGGGAAGAGGAGGGAAGGGGAGGGAAGGGGAGGGGAGGGGAGGGAAAGGGAGGGAATGGGAGGGATGGGGAGGGGGTATATGAAGGGATGGTAGGCCGAGGGGAGAGGGGAAGGGGGATGGAAGTGGATTAAAAACACCCAAAAACAAAATGTCCAATAACAAAACACCCAAAATTATATATCACCCAAAAACAAAAATGCCCAATGTTACATATCGCCCAAAAACAAAATACCCTAGATAACAAAACAACCAAATTTACAAAACGTCCAAAGCTACAAAATGTCCAAAATTACGAAACGTCCCAGGTTAAAAAAATAATCATAGTTGTAATTTTTAGGCTCATTTTATGTTTATGTTCATTTGAACTAACAGCCGAAGCGCTCTGCCCCCTAGCCTGTCGTAGCCGCAGTGCTTGGCCCAGAAATTGTCTGAACCTAATCTAACGCTGAAATAATGCATACATTTGAACTATTTTTGAGTTTAGTGGAACTATTTTTATGTTCATTCGAACAAGAAATTGTACTATTTTAGAGATAGGTTAGTTTAAGATAGTTGTGTTTCGATACAATGGAATCTGAGCTAAAGAAACATTTCATATATTTTTAAACATTTGCCTTTCTATAGATTGTGTAATTATATCTTTTGTAACTTAAATCTTGTGTACTTCATATCTTGTGTTACGTTAATTATATCATATGTAATAAAATGTTTTGTTATTATATATTTTGTAATTATTTTCTTTGTAATTATATCTTATGTTAGTCGTGGGTTAAATTCTTACTAACTAATTAATTGATAATTAAACATTTGATTATTTTGACATTTTTAGAAAATTTTGGATATTTTATCACTTTGGACATTTTGTATCTTTGGGCTTTTCGTAACTTTGGAAATCTTGGGTGTTCTGCTTTGGACCTTTTTTTGGGCGTTTTGTATCCACTGAAGTGCCAGGCGTTGCCTGTGGAAAAAAATAAATAAGAAATAAAAAAATTAAAAATTTGAAGAAGAAATCGAAAATGTCAGCCCATTCGGTCCAGCCGTTTGGCCGGCTATAGGGAACATAAAAGAATGTCTTGTTTTATGTCTTGTTATAGGTAGGGGCGGATGTGGAGGTAGGGACAAATAGAGCAGGGAGGGAGTGATTGGGGGAAAGGTGGGGAGGGTGCAATAATATTCTGTAACAGATTTAAACAAATATTCATATTTTAAAGGATTATCTTTTAAAGTTTTTGTACGCATCACTTAACTAGTTTTTGTACGCATCACTAAACTAGTTTTTGTACGCATCACTTAACTAGTTTTTGTACGCATCACTTAACTAGTTTTTGTACGCATAACTAAACTAGTTTTTGTACGCATAACTAAACTAGTTTTTAGACTATTTCAGTGTTAGTCTGAATTCTAAGCCCTAAACGTTTCTCTAACTTCTTTCAGTTTTTCAGTTTTAATGTATTTTTTTCAGTTTTGTGCAGAGTGGTGAAATATATACCCAAACTTGACAAATAAAGCAAGAAACAAAAACATTTTTCTTTTTTCTTTCTGTAGAAAAGTTGAGTAAATAGATAAACATCACAATACGCAAATCTACAGTATCTGTTATCTTCCCTAACAATGTATATCTCCAATATCTGTTCTATTCCCCAACAATGTATATCTCCAGTATCTGTTCTATTCCCTAACTATGTATATCTCCAGTATCTGTTCTATTCCCTAACTATGTATATCTCCAGTATCTGTTCTATTCCCCAACAATGTATATCTCCAGNTCTGTTTTCTACCTAACTATGCATATCTCCAGTATCTATTTTCCTACCTATCTATGCATATCTCCAGTATCTATTTTCCTACCTATCTATGCATATCTCCAGTACCTGTTTTCCTGCCTAACTATGCATATCTGCAGTATCTGTTTTCCTGCCTAACTATGCATATCTCCAGTATCTGTTTTTTTTACCTAATTATGCATATCTCCAGTACCTGTTTTCCTGCCTAACTATGCATATCTGCAGTATCTGTTTTCCTGCCTAACTATGCATATCTCCAGTATCTGTTTTCCTACCTAACTATGCATATCTCCAGTATCTGTGAAAAGAAAGTTTTGTTGAATAGTTGGAATATCTCAACGTTTAAAGCTGTAAATATCTATCTACTTATCTCTTTAACATTCAATACTTAACCCTGACTTTGACGGGAAACAGGGGGGTAAAGGGGGGGGGGGCTAAATAAAGAGGAATTTGTGATCAGGAATTTCAAGGTAAGGTCATGAAAATTAAAAACTGTATAAAGATCAAGTTATGTAGAAAAGTTTTATCTAACTTTTATCAAATACGAATAAATACTGGATGAAAACTGAAACAACATAGGCATGAATAAAGATTAGGGAAAAGAGAATAGAAAGAAAGTTTATAAATAAAGGTTTAGAAAAGTTTGAAGTATCTGCTGCGAAATTCTCTTGTCCTTCAGCAGATTGTTTCCTTTCTTTTATTTCAACAGTTTAGCAAAATTTATTCTGCCTAAAGGGGCAGTAGACGTAGGTGACATATTGGTATACCGTCACGTTCTACCGTCTTACAGGTCAAAATACAAACTGTACAATTTGCTTTAGCTCTACTTAAAAGATCGTCCGGTACTTCAAATGAAAATACTTAAATAACTCTCTACGCCAGTTATAACTGACTTTTTAATTGAAATATATTTAAAGCATCGTTGACAATATCCAGAAAGGAAATTAATTTTTGACACAAACTCAAATTTTCTAATCTCTATATTTTTTTCCACCGGATATGGTGTAAACTTTTGATATTTCAAACTTAGATTATTTGATCTAACAGAATTCATATATTGAAAGATCTAAGGCATTGGGCTGCAAAGGTATAGGAATAAAAAAATCAGAGTTTGTGGCAAAGACTCAATTCCTTCCCTATTTTTTTTAAAAACTAAATGCACTTTCTTTTATTTTTGTTTTGTTTGTTTGTTGCTCTATATAAAACTTGTTTTGTAAATTGGTCATCAATTTGATTAAGGTGTATATAGAGTTAGTAACTGGACACATTTTCTTTATTTTGAATACATGTTTTCTGCCCTTTAATTTGATGAAAAAACTATTCTTCGTTGCTTTGAACTCTTTCATCAGCATATTTATAGCAACTAGGAATTAAGGCAAAATTATACTAAACAGTTTTTTACGACTCCTTGGACAGTTGTGAAAAATCTAAATATTAGGTTTAAAAAAAAGATAAATTAGTGATGTACAATATTCATTACATGCTTTAAAGATACATTGTTTTACTAAATAAAAGGAATTGAATTCCCTTGTTTTATAATCCCTAGATATTTGATATTTTAATCTTTATTTACATTACAGTTTGAAATATCAAATGATCACTATAGGTTGCAAAGATTCAATGTTTAGAAAAGTAAAGTTTGTGGCAAGTGTTCGAAACGGAACGTTTTTGGCGGTTTTGATTGCCGTTGTGTATCGTGAGAAAATTCCTAGTTCAGATATTTGATATTTATTAAAGAAACATTTTTAAGATTTAAATTGCCCTTAAAATTTGGATTTTAAAAATGAAATTTTTAGAAATACACAGATTTGTTGATGAATTAGGATAAAATGAAAATCCCCGTAGAAGATTTATTGTGTAATATTTTGCTAAACAAGATGCATAAAATATCCTAAAAAGAATATTTTAAATGTTGGTGGGTTTCTGTTTTAAGTAAAAACAACTTTTTTCTTTTTTCCCTTTTTACTTAGCTCTGTACAGTGTTTAATGAATGTCTGTAGAATCTAAATTTTATACAAAGTAATGGTAGAAATTTATTTACATGTTTGTATATGTATAGTTAGGGGAAGGAAATTGAATTTTTTCAAAATTTAAGCACTGTGTGGCCAGTTTCTTCGTAGTTATGCTAGTATGCAACTTTACATATCAGGTATTTGATATCAACTGTCTAGACGGTGTATGTATAGTATAGTATCTAGTATTAAGATTGTAAAATATCAGGTATTTGATATCAACTGTCTAAACGGTGTATGTATAGTATAGTATCTAGTATTCAGATTGTAAAATATCTTGTAGTATTTCATACTAGCTGGAGGGCCCGGCGTTGTCCGTTGAAAAACTGATTAAAAATTTTAAAAAACTAAAAATTTGAAGAATAAAATTAAAAATTTGAATTTTTTTTATTACTTTTTAGTCTATAACACGGGAGCCACCCATGAGTGTTCACAAAAAAAATCAGCCCAAACGGTCCAGGCCGTTTGGCCGCCTATATGCATCATATGTATGAATGTCTTGTTTTATTCTTTAGATAGATTGTCAAATGTCTAGTATCTATCCCAGGAATACACAATACAACAAAGTTCAGTTAAAAATTGTTAGTAAATCTGAGCCAACTGCAACAATTTTAATAGTATTTCTCTAAAATTTAGATAACTTGATTTGTCCTTACGTAGCAAAAACGTTATCAAACGTAATGTGAAATATGAAAATGTCCTAAAAAATTAATTTTTGATTATCTCGATTCTATTAAAACTTTTTAGATAGGGTCGAAAACAATGAAAGCGTGATTTTAAATGTATAAAAAGTATATAGTAATTTTAAACATACATAGATAACGCAGATATATCTGTAGAAAATAAATCGCTACGAAAATAAATATAAAAAAAAACATATACAAAAGGTCAAGTATGTAATTCTTTATTTTTTGTTATACTTTATTAGTATTTAGTTTCGTATGTTTATCTAGTATCTGTATATCTTATATGTATTCTTAGTTTTTAGCAAGTATTCACTTTGTGTTTAGTATCTAGTTTCTATTATCTACTATCAAGTATTCACTTTGTGTTTAGTTTCTAGTTTCTATTATCTACTATCAAGTATTCACTTTGTGTTTAGTATCTAGTTTCTATTATCTACTATCAAGTATTCACTTTTTGTTTAGTATCTAGTTTCTATTATCTACTATCAAGTATTCACTTTGTGTTTAGTATCTAGTTTCTATTATCTACTATCAAGTATTCACTTTGTGTTTAGTTTCTAGTTTCTATTATCTACTATCAAGTATTTGTAGATATGTATTATGTATAGGAACATATACATATATTGTACATATCTACATAGTATCCACTATCCAGATCTATCATCTGTTCTAAAGTATCAAGCATGATAGCATCTATACTATAAACACTGTATGGTGTTGGTGTGACCTGCGGGGGATTACTGACTATCTTCCGGTCAACACAATACCCCCAGGTCTAGATATACATTGTTCTTACTTCAACCTTCAACCTTCATTCCTTTTCTGATTCTATGCAAAATTTTATAATAAAATTTACCTAGTCTTGCTTTCTTCGCTGATCACTATTCTGCATGCAATGCACCATATTTTGCTTTATAATTACACTTTAAAACATGTGAATAATATTTATATTTATACTATCGGAAAAAGTATTTTCAGTAAAGATTTACATACATTCCGTTTATTCTTGTAAATCTTTCATCCATTCCTTGTTTTAGAGTCAGTATTTTTGTTTCCAGGCTATTTTTGATATTCCTCGTTCAATATCGAAAATGTAAACACTCGATAACGAAATTTTTTTCAATTTATTTTCGCCTTTACAAAGTGATACTTCACATGATTGCAATTCCAATCTTATTTTTTCTTTTTGCTGACGAGAGTGGAAATAAAACTATTTCTAAGCAAGATAAATCGATTCTTGAATGATCTAATGTTAACATTGATATAGAAAAAGTTTATTCCCAATTTTTTATATAATTAATTTTTTTCTAATATCTTTTTTCGGGGTTTGTGGGATACACAATACAATTATCTTGAACGACTGTATCATTTCTAGTTTTCTTTTCAAAATTTAAAAACTGAAAATTTATTATTTTTCAGTGTTGAGTAAAGGAGAGTCATTTTTTCAGTTTCTGAGTTTGATAAAACCTTTAGATAGAAAAGAGAAAATCCGCGAAAACAATTTGAAAAATACACCAAACTAAATTAGTTCACACCATTCTAGCCGGCATGGCTGCCAATCAGAGGTTAGCCGCAATCGGAAATTATGAGGTATCATCGTTGACCATTGGGGAAGGTTCCTTCTCGAAGGTGAAGATTGCTCGGCACAGAGTTTTGGAGAAAAATGTAGCAATAAAGATTATCAACCTTTCGACAATAAAAGATCCTTATGTTTCTAGAAACCTGGAGAGAGAAGCTAAAATACTCTCAACTCTAACACACACCAACGTAGTGAGATTGTTCGAGGTTGCTCGGTGTGAGGGATTCTATTGCCTTATTATGGAATATTTACCAGGAGGATCCCTATGTGATATGATACAGAATAATGGGAAAATTGATGAAAATACTGCAAGGAGATTCTTCGGTCAGCTAATCACTGGTTTAGGCTACATTCATGGAAAGGTATGAATTCCTGGATCTTTTTAAATTGAATCTCATCTAGTCCTATCTCTATAAATAGTTTAAAAGGATCCATGAATACAGTTCGAATGAACTTTACAAAAAATTCTAAAAAGGAAATTGTATTTACATTTATGTAAGTATAAATACTTTGTATATATATTATCCAAGAAAGATAATTTACCTATTTTAAATGCAAAAAATGTTTTAATGTCGGGATGAAGCATTTTTTTGAGAAAATTTTGTAATTTTTGTTAATTGTGCAATGTGCATACAAATAAATATCTTAAGGGCATAGTGCACAGAGATCTTAAGTTGGAAAACCTCCTCCTGAGTAAGGATCTATCTAATCTGGTGATAGCTGATTTTGGTCTTAGCAACTTCTGGAGTCTAGAAAACAAGCTAAATACTTACTGTGGATCCCCTGAGTATGCTGCTCCGGAGCTATTCGATAAGGCTGTTTATGACCAAAAGGTTTGAACAATTTCTATAAAACAACATTTTAATATTTAAGTTCAGAAGATTAATTTAGGCTCAATAGTTTGATTATCCAAATGGAATGTTTATATTCCACTCTTATGGTAATCCATATATTTTATCTAAATAAGAATATTATTGTAGATTGATGTTTGGTCCGCTGGTATAATTCTTTATTGTATGTTGACAGCTCAGCTTCCTTTTGATGTTAACCCTGGAGTAAAGGGTCATATTTCAGCTCTGGTCAAAATCATAAAGCTAGGTTTAGGTAGTAGACACAGGCTGAAGCTCTCACATTGCTCGCTAGAACTTAAAATATTGCTACAGAAGATGCTGAGAGTAAACCCTGAGAAGAGAATAGATGTTGAAGGAATCCTGGCGGATCCATGGATCACAGATAATGGATTGAACCCGCTTCAAGAGGCTCAAGAGCTAACTCTTTCGGAGGAGGAGACTCAAATAGTTACTAAGAAGTGTAAACTAGTACTAACCCTCACAAAGGTTTCTTCTCAACAGGTTCTAAGCCATATCAGGTCAGATATTCAGAGTTTAAATAAATATTTTGATTTAAATAAGCTTACGTGTTCACTTTAGAAATAATAGTTTATGAATTTAGGTCGGATAAAGGTTGGTTCGGCAAGACAGCAGGATGCTTTAATATTCTTAGAAGAGAGATGGAACATACCAGGACTTCTAATGTTCCAACACTTCATCCTGTTCATGTCAAGGAACCTTTATTTAAACCATCAGAGAGGTATACAATATACAATATACATAGTTGTGATTTTAATTTGTTTTTATAAAGTAAAAGTTAATTTTGATTTTTTAATCACTTCGTATTATATAGACTAGAAGATATATCTCGGAATCAGTTTTGGGACAGTACACCTGGAAAACGAGCTTTACACGCTTTAGTTAAGATAAATCCTAGCTCCCCACAAATTCGTCCTCCTCAGGTACACTTAGTACACTTTTATAATTAAATAATTAAAGCAAATGAATTCCATATTAATATAATTTTCATATTTCAATTTAGTCAAAGATTCGGAGGACAGGGGAACAGCAAGGTGCAGGATCGGTGAAGGTTTATGAATCCGAGGAACCATGTTCTACAAATATTCATGAAAAAGAGAAGACTGGGAAAGGTAGAACAAGCCGTAATTATTCTCGCGGGTTCCTGGACGCGGAGTTAGACAAAGAGAATATAAACTCTTCTAGAACTGAAGATACTCTAGGAACTACAGGACACAAAGAGAAGAATTATGGTAGACGAGGACTGGGACAATATACTGCTGAGATGACTGGTTGGAGGCGTAGTGTTAAACCACAGTCTCAAGGAGAAGAGAAGAATTCTAGGCTCAAGAGAGTTGATTGGGGAGATAAGGAACCACTCAAATCTTGGAATATGAACAGAATTTAGAGCAGCCATATATGTTTACGCAATTTTGCGGTTTTAAGAAATATTGCAGATAAATCATTAATATATTCAATTACAACTATTATACACAACAATCACTTAACATGCAAGATAAATCAGACGCTTTATATTTTATTTTTGCAAATAGAAACTTGGTAGAGTTTAGAATCAAATGTACCTCTATATGTATATAAACAGTTGGGCTTCTATTAAAATAAAACAAGATGTCTTGTACCTTTTTAGTGTAAACCATCCAATTTTGAAACCCCTCGCGTTGTTAATTGTTCAAAAGTTAAAGAAGGGTAGAGCAGGGGGACGGAGTGTAAATTCCACTCATCCCGTTAACTTTGTACATAAAGAGAGCAACAAAAAATTGAATTACAGTAAAATTTATTCGTTATCTTTTCTATTATCAATCTAAATTGAAAGAAACTAAAAACACGTCTAAAATCTAATTTTCCTATTCCTAAATCTCTGCAACCATATGGTGTAAACCTTTAATATTTCAAACTTCCTCTACTTCTAACTATTAACAATTCTGGTCCCCATTAAGCAAACATATTTGGACAGGAAAACTAGAGTTACACCCATTTGTTCAGAACCTTTGGTCCTGTTCTGTATTATTAAAATTTAATAGTAAAAGCTCAACACAAAATTATCCTGTAATTCAGAGAATCTAGCTCCGTAGTAAGGAAGATACACCAGAAACCCCTCTTATACGAACTGTATGCAGAAAGTGTACTTTATTGCTGGGGGGGGGGATACAATGGAATGACAATGAGCCAACAATTTGTGAAGAGAGAAAATCTGATCTATAAGATACGCAAAAAAGATAATTATGTTGTGACAGTGAGTGATGATTTTACATACAAATGTTCTTTGTTTAACTTACTTGATGTTATGATATAATAAGTTTTAATCTCCCACGACTGTTTTAGAATTTAACAATTATTTTCCTTGGTGTGTTGAGTTGAGGTATAGTCCCACTGTGCCCATATAACAAACCAATTACTTCTATCTCGTCTTTCATCAATTATTTATATCTTTCCATTTATAATATATCTTCATCGGTTCTCTAACATCTTTTTTATCCTACTAAATATCAAAAAAAACAAGTTATCATAAAATTTTTAAAAGAAGGTAAAGGAATTGAACTTCTAAGCCCTTTATCTTTGCAACCGAACGTCATAAAGCTTAGATGTTTCAAACTATGAAATTAATTAGATCAAATAATCTAAGTTTGAAATATCAAAAATCATATCACTATCAGATTGCAGATATATAGGGATTAGAAGATTTTAGTTTGTGGCAAAGACTCAATTCTTTTGAGTTTAAATTAATAAAATGAAGGATTAAATACAACTCTAAATGCATGTTTTTCAGTCAAGTTTTGACAACCTCAAAAGCTAAAAACGAGATATCAGAAAAGCTAAGATGGGAAAACAGATCGAACCGAAATTAAATGAGTCTCATGAAGTCAAAATATCCCGAAGTGAAGACCGGAGAGATTACGTTCTGAAAAAGTGCTGGACGAGGTAGACCAATCATTTTAACATTGTATTAATTTATCCATCTTGCTCTAATGTTTCTAATCTTTAGTATTAATCTCTAGGGATTTTGATTTCCTCCAACCCCTTTATCTGAATTTTGTATGGTCTCACATCGTTATGTATTTCAGTATATAGCATTTAAACAGCTGTATTATCTAGCTATATTCTTTTGTTATTTGAACAGGAAGAAATAATATTTCCGTATAAAAATTATCCATGGTTTGTTTTTATTTCATTAATTTTTCATTCATTGTATGATAAAAAACACACATTTAAACTTTTAAATAATCAGTGAGTTCGATTTTGTTACTTAAGGATAAAGATAAAAATTATTTTGCAATAAACAAGTATATACAGTAATCTAATCTGCAAAGGTTTGATGATGTAAAATTAAATTAAATACATAGTATGATAGTACACTCGGCCAAAATTTGCTATTGAATTTTTTTAATTGATTTTCAATTTACAATATAAATAGATATGGAAGTAATATCAAAGTTTTAATGAGCAAGAGTTATAGTTTTAAGATTTGAACATTTTCAGATAGAATTAATTATTCCATTATTGGATAGAAAAATTACTACAAATGCATTCATTTGGATATTTAAATATTTGCATATCTAAATATTTGCATATCTAAATATTTGCAAATATAAATATTTGCAAATATAAATATTTGCATATCTAAATAACCAAAATGTCCCAAAAATCTGAAATTTTAAGGTTCTATTTGCTTAATAAAGATGTTAATTGAGAAAAGCAAGTAAACAATAAACAAATGTTTACATATAGGAGACGAATTACAGAGCTGTTTTGAGCACATACATTTCAACGGAGAACCTGAAAATATACAATATTTTAGAAAAATATAGTTACAAGAAAACTTTTTAAGAATGGATTGATTCGAAATTTCTAAATGGAATGTGCTACTTTTTAAAGTGAATCTGTATTTGAGGAATGCACCAGAGACTTGAGAGCACTTATTTTGATCAGCTGGTGCTAGATAACGAAGGCCAGATTTTATCCAAGATGCTCTGTTCTAGTTTTTTTTATAAATTACGATTCTCAATTCTGAATTTTGTGTTGTTTTCATTAAACCAAACTTTAACTTTACTCTTGAATTTTTTTAAAACAAATAAAGTATTGTCAGAATAAAAAGAAAACTATTGTCAGAATAAAAAGTAAACTATTGTCAGAATAAAAAGTAAACTATTGTCAGAATAAAAAATAAACTATTGTCAGAATAAAAAATAAAAAATAAACTATTGTCAGAATAAAAAGTAAACTATTGTCAGGATAAAAAATAAACTATTGTCAGAATAAAAAATAAACTATTGTCAGAATAAAAAAATAAACTATTGTCAGAATAAAAAATAAACTATTGTCAGAATAAAAAGTAATCTATGGTCAGAATAAAAAATAAACTATTGTCCGAATAAAAAATAAACTATTTTCAGAATAAAAAATAAACTATTGTCAGAATAAAATATAAAAAAAAAACTATTGTCAGAATAAAAAATAAACTATTGTCAGAATAAAAAATTAAAAATTTACCTTCGATTGAAGTCCAATGGCAGATTGAAAACTTTTCTCCTCCTGATTAAAGAAAATAATATTCTTTAAAAACTGTAATGAAATTGAAGCATCTAAATATAAACTTTGCTTTTCTTGGTGTCTGTCTTTCTGGCAGTATTTAATAAACGTCAAAACGGTTTAAACGTTCGGGCCCAAATTTGTTAAATAAGGGAAGGTTTATGGAAAAGGAAAGATGGTGACATTTTCATTTCTTTAAATGCACAATGCACACAGAAAAATTCGCAAAAAAAAGAGTTTAACAAATGGTAACTTTAAAGTTAACATTTAAACGCTCAAATTCAAATTTGTTATCCCTATTTTTTGCAACCTGGTGGTGTAAACTTTTTAAATTGAGATTTTTTATCTAACAGAATTCAAACTTTATAATATCTAAGGTCTATGACATATGGTTGCAAACATATAGTGCTTAGCAAATTAGAGTTTGTGACAAAGATTCATTTTCTTTGTTAACAGAAAAGTCTATACAACCCAAGGATGTAATGCAAGGAAAGTTATTTCAGATGTGTACGCATCTTTTGTACTGCAGTGTACTGTCTCTGAGCGATAATGTAAACACACGACGGATGTTACAGCCTGACATGGGATCCATCTTTCACATAAAAAAAATCAATGAAATATTCTGGTCATAAGAAACTATAATGTGAATTATCAAAGTTATCAAATTTAATGCTTTTAACCTCCTCGGATACTAAACGAACACTGATGCATCTATTCTTGTTTACAAATTCCGCCCAAAGAGAACTGGTTTCAATATGTACTTAGAGTATAAACGACCGCAATTAACTTTCCTTGAATTACACCCTTGATACAACCTGTGTACGTCTTTTCACAAGCTCTCATCACTGTTCCGTTGGAATAGATAAACTGGACAAGTTTATACAATTTTCTCAAAGTAATAATTAAGTTTCGAATTTAACACATGATTGTTTATATCTAAAGCTTAAATCCTGCAAGTGCTTCAGAAACTGACATTTCAATAATAAAATCCAAATTTTGTAAGTCGAACAAAGCACGCGTTGTTCCAGAAAGAGTTCTATATTCTGGGTAGAAAATTTTTAATCTTTGAAAAGAATTCAAAAAAATCTAACTATACAATAGGTTTTTCGAATGTAATCCTAGATTTTTAAAAAACGATTCTCTGTTCTTCTTTAATCATTATTTTCTTTATTAAATGCCAAATTCTTGATTTTTAACATAGAGCCCTTAATTTTTAACAAAAACTCTTTGATTTTTATTATAGCTAGATTCATTTATTTTCAAAATAGAATAAAGAAAATCTTTTATTATTTATGAAGAATGCTGAATCCTTCATAAAGAGTCTAAAATTCTCCAAATATAATCCTAGATTCTAAAAACTCCATCTTCCTTGAATATTATTCTATTTTATCCTTTCTTTATTCCTAAATTATTGATATGGCAGTTCTTAAGAAACAATAGTAGTTTTTCAAACAAAAGAATTTTAAATACTTTAAAGAGAATTCTACATTCTTTAGAATAAAATTCTAGATTTTCAATAAAAGGATTTACAAAGTTTCGACTTGGTAAAACTTCGTTTTTGAACTAATGGTTTTCAATGTATTATGTAAGTTTCTTAGAAGATGTTACATGTCAGGTTTCTTTATGTATGATGTTATATATTCTCAAATACCTTAAGGGAATTAAAGCATTAAACTTTAAAAGGAAATGAAGTACTTTTCGTCTCCATCAACGGTTACATTTTCTTTCTTCATTAAGATAAGAGTTGTAATAAATCGGATGCATTACCAGGAGTTTTAACAAGAGCAGTATCGGGGAGATAATTTTCATTATTTTCCAGTTCTTACATTTTTCTTTATTACTTCCAATATAAAATCATTGAGGAAAAATAGAACCGATTTTATGAAACATTTTGTATCCTTCTGAAACCATTTTGTATCCTTCTGAAACCACACCAACTTCTAGATCTAAAACAGTGTGGGGCAAAAATACTTTGAAACTACTTTTTAAAAGTTTAATTAATAAAACTTTTTTTTTGGGGGGGGGGGCAAGTCGATGAAGATTTAGAATAACTTTTGTTATTGATAATGAAAAAATTAAAGTTTTTAGATTGTTTTAGATCTTTTAGAATATTGCAGGGGCGGAATGTGATATTTTCCAGGAGGAAGGTAATATATAATTGATTAATTAAATTTTTTTGAATCTATTCTTAAAAATCAAAATCAAAGGGCTATGTGTGTCTTCTAATTTTTCCAAGAGGGGGGGGGGGAGCACGTCTCCTCAGTTTTCCAGGGTGGAGGACGTCCCCCCTACCCCCCTTTTATGCCGCCTCTTGAACATTGTTCTAAATTGATAAAAAATGAAAATATTTTTCTTTTTTTCCAAGTTTGAATGATGAAGACTATTTCTAAAAGAATAAGCAGTTCAATAAACAATGAAAAAGTTTTATTATATCTTTTTGAAAATTTTAATATTCCTTAGAGCAGGCCCATTCCATGCTTTCCGATACAGACAGGCTAAAAAATATATTATAATGACAAGAGTTATATATATATATATATATATATCTTGTAAAGTCTCGCACTGCGAACTATAAAGAAGGAGAAGGACAATGTCGTGAAACATTACTGATGTGAAGTTGTGACCTCGTAGCTCCTCTAGTGTTAATTCAACGCACACGTATCAGAAAAAAAAATTGTAAGAGAAATTCACGATATCTTTAATCTTCTTAAAAGCTCTTCAATAGAAGGAGTTAAATTTTTAACATAAATGATTTCAACCCTAAAATCCAAACAAACGAGCAAATTATTTTATTAAACAAAATAATCAAACCTTATGGGAGTTTACTGAATAAATACTTACGATGCAGCCATGTAGTATATTTTATAGAATATATCTATATCAGAGACCCTAAACAAATATCATGTAGTATATTGTATAGAATATATCTATATCAGAGAGTCCTAAAAAATATCATGTAGTATATTTATAGAATATATCTATATCAGAGACCCTAAACAAATATCATGTAGTATATTTTATTGAATATATCTATATCAGAGACCCTAAACAAATATCATTTAGTATATTTTATTGAATATATCCATATCAGAGACCCTAAACAAATATCATGTAGTATATTGTATAGAATATATCTATATCAGAGACCCTAAACAAATATCATTTAGTATATTTTATATGATGGGCGGATTTTTGGTAATGTCAATTTGGTAATGACAATTTGGTAATGACAATTTGGTAATGACAATTTGGTAAGGTGACAATTTGGTAACGACAATTTGGTAATGACAATTTGGTAAGCTCACAAAAGTGACAATTTGGTAATGACAATTGGGTAACAACAAAAAAGTGACAATTTGGTAATGACAATTTGGTAAGCTCACAAAAGTAACAATTTGGTAAGCTCACAAAAAGTGACAATTTGGTAAGCTCACAAAAGTGACAATTTGGTAATGACAAATTAGTAACAACAAAAAAGTGACAATTTGGTAATACAAATTTGGTAATGTCATAAAAGTGACAATTTGGTAAACGAAATAAAAGTGCCATTATGTAAAATTGTTTAATTTTTAGTTTTATATTCAATTGAAGATAATTGATTCTAGGAATCTTTTATTTCTGCACAAAAGAAATGCGCCAAAAATAATTGTAAAATTCGCAATATTTTCTAAAAACAACGTTTCAACCTGCACTTGTGTCATATACTGCAAGAAGAATAGACTTGGATCATGAATTACTTATTCATCACCCTTTCTAGGGGAAATGTTACAAGATTCAGAAGGATTTAAATACTACAACAAGAACGGACTTTATGCATGTCAATGTTAGGAAGTTATTAATGTTACTTTTTATATGTAGTTGCCAAACTGTCCCTTTTGTAATCAACATTTAACATTTAAGAGGATGCAGTGCTTGGCCCCTAGCCCATCCCAGCCGCAGCGCTCGGCCCAGAAATTGTCTTTACCTAACCTAACCCAAAAAAAATGTGAAAAACAGCACATTATTTAACATTTAATAGCCCGCAGCACTCGGCCACCTAGCCCACCCTAGCCGCAGCTCTCGGCCCATAAATTGTCTTAACCTAACCTAACCTAACCCAAAATATTGAGAGAGACAGCACATTATTTAACATTTAATAGGCTGCAGCACTCGGCCCCTAGCCCATCCTAGCCGCAGCGCTCGGCCCAGAAATTGTCTTAACCTAACCTAACCCTAAATAAAGTGAGAAACAGCATAAACAGCGAATTATTAAACATTAAATTGAATTAAATTTAACTTTTATCAACAAATTGTCACTTTTTTGTAGTTACCAAAATGTTATTACCAAATTGTCACTTTTTTGTAGTTACCATATTGTCATTACCAAATTGTCACTTTTGTGAGCTTACCAAATTGTCATTACCAAATTGTCACTTTTATGACGTTACCAATTTGTCATTACCAAATTGTCACTTCTTTGTAGTTACCAATTTGTCATTACCAAATTGTCACTTTTGTGAGCTTACCAAATTGTCGTTACTAAATTGTCACCTTACCAAATTGTCATTACCAAATTATCACTACCAAATTGTCATTACCAAATTGACATTACCAAAAATCCTCCCGTCATTTTATATAATATATCAATACCAGAGACCCTAAACAAATATCATGTAGTATATTTTATAGAGTATATCTATATCAGAGACCCTAAACAAATATCACGTAGTATATTTTATAGAATATAACCATATCAGAGACCCTAAACAAATATCATGTAGTATATTTTATAGAATATATCTATATCAGAGACCCTAAACAAATATCATGTAGTATATTTTATTGAATATATCCATATCAGAGACCCTAAACAAATATAATGTAGTATATTTTATAGAATATATCCATATCAGAGACCCTAAACAAATATCATGTAGTATATTTTATAGAATATATCAATATCAGAGACCCTAAACAAATATCAGTGTAGAAAAGTATCGAGGAAAATTTATTCTATACATTCAAGGAATGATTTCTCACATCCTATACATTGATAAACTGAATTTGCATACTTTTCAGAACTTATAAAACGGAATTTCAAACTGAAACTTTCATGCATTTTTGCAGCAATATTCAATAGTTTGTAATTTAAATATGTTTTTTTGGTTTCTAAATTTTAGAAGTAAAAAGCGAATAAGACGTATAAGAATGTGTTAGTATACCTATTACTTAAGTCTGAATGAATACAATCAGTTACTACAAAATTATTGTCGCTTCCAACATAACATCTGAATAGAAAATATAATTTAATAATAATATTATTTATTCTTTAACAAACCAAAGGTTTTCATTTTACAATAGAAAGACTTATTCTCGAAGATATTAATGGTTTTATTTTCTTTTCTTAACTTGAACTGAAATTGATTTGAATTAGAATCTTGAATCTTGCAGTAGAATCCTGCAAACAACAAAATGGGTTTAGTTAGATTAAATTAGATTGATAAAATAACTCCAACTTAACGTGTTTCAGCTAAAATAGGCTTCTACAGATTGGACGAATGTACATTGTACATAACACCAGAAAACAGGAAATGTTAGCAAAAGAAATGTAAACAAACCACAACAATGGAGAAATGTAAACAAACCACAACAATAAAATGATTGTTAGGAGAAATGTAAACAAACAACAACTATAAGATGATTGTTAAGAGAAATGTAAACAAACTGTAGCTATAAAAGATTGTTAGAAACTACAGCTATATAATGGTTGTTAGGAAAAATGTAAACAAACCATAACTATAAAATGATTGTTAGTAGAAATTTAAACAAACCACAGCTATAAAATGATTGTTAGGAGAAATGTAACAAACCACAACTATAAAATGATGTTTAGGAGAAATGTAAACAAACCACAGGTATAAAATGATTGTTGGGAGGGAGAAATGTAAACAAACCACAGCTATAAAATTATTGTTAGGAGAAATGTAAACAAACCACAGCTATAAAATTATTGTTAGGAGAAATGTAAACAAACCACAGCTATAAAATTATTGTTTGGATAAATGTAAACAAACCACAGCTGTAAAATGATTGTTAGGAGAAATGTAAACAAACCACAGTTATAAAATGACTGTTAGGAGAAATGTAAACAAACCACAACTAAAAAATGATTGTTAGGAGAAATGTAAACAAACAACAACTACAAGATGATTGTTAAGAGAAATGTAAACAAACTGTAGCTATAAAAGATTGTTAGGAGAAATGTAAACAAGCCACAGATATAAAACTATTGTTAGGAGAAATGTAAACAAACCACAGCTATAAAATGATTGTTAGGAGAAATGTAAACAAACCACAGTTATAAAATGATTGTTAGAGAAATGTAAACAAACCACAGCTATAAAATTATTGTTAGGAGAAATGTAAACAAACCACAGTTAGGAGAAATGTAAACAAACCACAGGTATAAAATGATTGTTAGGAGAAATGTAAACAAACCACAGTTATAAAATGATTGTTAGAGAAATGTAAACAAACCACAGCTATAAAATTATTGTTAGGAGAAATGTAAACAAACCACAGCTATAAAATGATTGTTAGGAGAAAAGTAAACAAACTGTAGCTATAAAAGATTGTTAAGAAAAATGTACACAAACTACAGCTATATAATGGTTGTTAGGAAAAATGTAAAAACCATAGCTATAAAATGATGTTTAGTAGAAATGTAAACAAACCACAGCTATAAAATGATTGTTAGGAAAAGTGTAACAAACCACAACTATAAAATAATGTTTAGGAGAAATGTAAACAAACAACAGGTATAAAATGATTGTTGGGAGGGAGAAATGTAAACAAACCACAGCTATAAAATGATTGTTAGGAGAAATGTAACAAACCACAACTATAAAATGATGTTTAGGAGAAATTTAAACAAACCACAGCTCTAAAATGATTGTTACTAGAAATGTAAACAAACCACAGCTATAAAATGATTGTTAGGAGAAATGTAAACAAATCACAGCTATAAAATGAATGTTAGGAGAAATGTTACAAACCACAGTTATAAAATGATTGCTAGTAGAAATGTAAACAAAACACAGTTGTAAAATGAATGTTAGGAGAAATGTTACAAACCACAGTTATAAAATGATTGCTAGGAGAAATGTAAACAAACCACAGTTGTAAAATGATTGTTACTAGAAATGTAAACAAATCACATCTATAAAATGATTGTTAGGAGAAATGTAAACAAATCACAGCTATAAAATGAATGTTAGGAGAAATGTTACAAACCACAGTTATAAAATGATTGCTAGGAGAAATGTAAACAAACCACAGCTATAAAATGATTGCTAGAAGAAATGTAAACAAACCACAGTTGTAAAATGATTGTTACTAGAAATGTAAAGAAATCACAGGTATAAAATGATGTTTAGGAGAAATGTAAACAAATCACAGCTCTAAAATGATGTTTAGGAGAAGAGTATGCATTGATACCGTTAATTCACGCTACGTGTACAGAGAAAAGTAAATATAAAATACTACTTTTTTCCTCCATATCTTTACTTTTTAGTTTTAGTAAATATTCATGAAGAATAAATCCGTTATTTAAACTTTTATTATTTGATATAAACTTCCAGAAGCTAAACTTTGTTGTGAAAGAAAAGTTACTTTAGTAGACTGTTAAGTGAGCTAACTAAACTGTATACAGTTGGGTACAACTAGATCCAAGGTCAAAACTTCTGTATCGAGTATCATTAACCTTGGACGAATGATCTCGATATCCAATGTTGGTACTTTTGAATTTGAGAACAAATACTTGATCCCTCCGCGGAGGAGAGAAAATGACCACCACATGGGATATCAAATAGGGGGGGGTGGGACTAACTGGTTTTTGTCACAATACTCCACTTAAAATGCATTTGTCTTGTGTTTCATGGTGAGAATGGACAACATGAATATATTCTGATAATCTTTTCATTTACAAACATTGTATAAATTGTAGCTAGCATTGATTTATAACGATTTCAATTTATAATTACTTTTCCCGTTCATATATTTATCCTTGAATATATTCAGATGTCGTCTTTGTTAAAGCGAGCTTTTTGGAAAGAAAAACATATATTTTATAGGAAAAGAACATTAAAAGCACAGGGGTTTAGGGATAATCTAAATATATAAAAAAATTTGTATCAGAAAAAGAGATATGAATTGGCGAGGAAGTATTGGGAAGTTGAGTTGGGGAGGGTAGCTTGAGATGGTAGAATATATAAAAGACTTCTTAATCTTTAACCAGAAATATGATGTTTTCTCTCTCTCATGAATCGATGTGGTTGCAAATTAAAGAAATATATTGATCAGATCTGGTCACATAAAGAATACAGGGTTCTTTGCACTCGCTTTGACCGCGAGGGTGGTACGCGGGTCGAACATTTCTTTTCTTCTTTGTAGAGTTACATCTTGAATCCTTCCTCTTTACTGGTTCTATAGCGACTGTGTCTAGCCTGCTTTTTGCAGATTGCCAAATTCAGGGCAAATTTAAAGATAGTAATATTTGACAATATAAACACTTTTAGGCTTAACAAAGATATAAAAGTGAAAACATGAAAACATATTAATAACTTTTGTTTCAAGGGATCTAAACACCCCTTTAGCTAGGCAGCATAATACTGCGCAAAAAATTCACACAGGCTGGTTTTTTTGCACAGGCTTATTTCTTTCTAATACTTCAAAAATTCATATTTTCTTGTCCATTGTCATTTGTCATAAATAAAGCATGAGATAAATAGTTTATAGTGTCGTAACTTTTACATAAAATCCAAACTATTGGGATCCCAAACGATTATCAACTAATGTTCAAGATATTGGGATTAGGCTTGGTTTTGGAATAAGGTATATGAATGAGATAGAACCAATTGGGAGTAGGTAAAAAAGGTTGGGAATTGGAAAGGATATGAACTAAAGAGGAAGTTGGGATTGGAAGATTTGGTATTAGGAATCAATGAGAGCTAGGATGAAAATAAGGGTTGTTATATCGGTAGTTAGAGTGATTTGAAAGATTAGGTAAAGGAATAGATGTTTTTTGAGAACCACTGTACTGAAAGAGAATAAGCAATATTTTGAAGTTTAGTATAAAGATAACGTTAGGATAAAATACTTGTGTGTAAAACTATATGAGTATAAGTGATTTAGTGGATAAAAATGTTAAATAGGAATGAAGACGACATTTTGGAAAGGATGAACGTATTATTTTCAAGTTAGAATAACAGAGAGAAAAGGATAAAAAATCATCTTTAGAATTATTCAAAAATCCGACTCAGCTTCTAACAGCCATATAAAAAATTTAGATCCTCCAGCAGCTCCCCAAAATCTTATTGTAGTCAGAGTAGCGTGTTGAAAAATCCCATTTTAAGAGTTTTCAATGTATTATAGCGGGTTTTTTGTCGAAATTCTTATCTAAAACATAACATTATATGAAAAGACTTCTCTAAAAAAAATTTTAACCGGCCAAGCCTTAATTTTTGGCTGACCCCCATTTCCTATTTTCAAAGCATAAAACCATGAATATATATTTACCATTTATTTAGCAATTTTGAAGATTCCCATAAATGAGGGGCAAAAATTGATTATTTGAAATCGTTAACGAAAGAAATTTTTGTTGTTAACCTGTTGCATTTTCTGCTAAAGTTGTGGCAATTTAAAACAATTTACAAGATTTGTAAAATCTACAAAATTGTGTTTCATTTTATGTGACCAAGGATCGACGTATATTGTAAAACTAGTAAATAAACAGAACACAATACTCAGGAAAACCTAATTTATAATTAAAATGTTGATTTTATTTCAATACAAAGTGTATTCGCTTATATTTTCAAAAGAACGTAAAAGCATAATTTGTTTGATTAAAACTTTTTTCTATAATAAAATGCTGATTTTAGGTTTTGATTTATAAACTTGTAAGAGATTAGAGGAAATCCAGCAAGATTTTCAATAGTTTTACAACTTTAGTATTCGTTAAATAGAATTGCAAATTTTTGTCTTTTCTTTCTTAGATTTTCAAACTTTTGTTTAATTAAAAAAATTCATTCATTTTCATTTATGAAGTGATACACTAATTTTTTTTACACAGGACAGAGCCTTTGAATTATTGCTGAATCTCTTGGAGGGTTTGATTTCCATTGATTTCAATTCTCAAAGAATCAAATAAATGTTTACAATGTTTAGATAATCATTTTACAGTACTTCAGACTTCAACGAATTATTTACAACATCATTTTACCGTACTTCAGACTTCAACGAATTCTTTACAACATCATTTTACCGTACTTCAGACTTCAACGAATTCTTTACAACATCATTTTGGAATTCCAAAAGTTTGCTTAATAAACATTAAAGTCAAATATGAGTCTTAAAATTCCAAACGTCCAAATTGTTATGTAATGCTTTGAAAGCTGAAAACTTTTGTATTGTGGATATCGAGATCAATGCCTGATCTAGAATTTAGTTAATATTCAGATTAACTAAATCTTCATTCGATATCCTGCAGGATAATTGTACCCAGTCGGGGGTTAAAGGAAGTTTAATCAGGGGAGAAATATCTGAAATGATGAGATAAAGCATTGATCCTCAAATTAAAAGTGTCCACAGTGGATATCGAAATCAATCGTCTGCGATTATGATTAGACAATATTAAGTTCCCAACTCAAGTTCGTCAAAAATACATCTTTACAAATTTGATTGATGATACTTTGTATTCTTTAAATTTATCTCGATATTTGTTGTAAAGTATCAAAATAAAAAATATTTTACTTGAATTGTCTGTTAACACGAAGATAACTAAAATCACAATCCAACTCATCCGACCCGTCCTGACAGTCATGCCTGAATAATAATTTCATAAACTATACAGCGAGTCCCATATAATTGTGAAATAGGAAGACGACTGTTTGAGTCAAGTAATGATTTGGAAAAGTCCAATGAACATGAAGAACAAATCCATTTCACTAAATGATTTAAATTATAAGCTGGCAGTACAACTTTTTGCTTATTTCAATATTAAATATACATAAGATTGCTTTAATGTCGTCTACCTATTCCACAATGTTCTAGGTCTCATCGTATGTTAAAAAACTAGACTGAATGTTTTCTTTTTATCGTTCCTATTGATGATAACCGTCAACGGCAAATAATAAAGGAGCAAGCTAGATTATGTTGACAATCCCTTTAAGATTAAATGTTATTTCATGTAAACTTTCAAATCAAAGGAGAATTGGAAATGTTTGCATGCGAATGAATTTGTACAAAACTGTTGTGGAATTTATTAAATTCTGCAAATTTTTATCAGAGAATCAGTAAAAGTTTGCTTTTGTCGAAGTTTTTGCTAAAATATCCATTACAAATGAAGTATATAGTTAGACCAGTCATGCGGCTCGTGCCTATTTGCCTCATAATATTTTCTATAATAAATGCTCAGTCGAAAATAATTTTGTTAGTTTCTTTTTACCATCTAATTAATTTATTTCTTTTATAAATATTCTTATTATAATTTTCATCCTTTATATGTTCTTAATTTCGATTAAAACTTAAATAAATCATCTTTGATTTAAGTTTTCTTTTACATTTTGTCCAATTATTACTTTTAACCCTGACGTATGTTGTATATTGCAATATTCAATTTGCTAGGCTGTGTCTGACTTTTGAGATATTGCCTTTTTCTGTTTTTTCCCATTAAAAAATGTCCGAAAACTTGTTTTCTTTATCTATAGAAGAGAGACAAGTGAAAACCCAATTAATTTATCAATTGATATTTTCATCAACAATAACTTAGTTTTAGCATCGTTGCAAAAATATTTTCTCTTAAAATAAAACAAATTCTTGTTTGTACTTTTACTTTTCTTTAGAAATTTCGAAGAAAAAGCAGGAAAAAGATGTTTTAAATCTAGATTCTAGATTCTAGAAAGGAGGAACGGTAATGATAAGAAAAGTGGAAAGTTTATTCATTTTATGCTAACTAACTTTCTTCTCTTTAAAAAGAAAAACAATTTTTCGAGAATTGGATCCCTTTTTCTGCAATCCAAAGACTTCTAGGAATTTTAAAAAAGCAGAAATGAGATAGACTCATGAGTAGGAAGGAAGTTAAGGAAGGAGATTAGAAATACTTTCCGATATCTCAAATTTATTGTGATCCATGTCGAAATCTATACATTGTTTTGCTCGTCTTACTGTTTATTTGTTTGTGACAGAAAAATGTCCGAATGGTTGAACTGATTGGATCCAAATTTTGTGTGGGATCTCACATGACCCCGTGGAAGGTTTGTGGATGCTCAGAATTACAAAAATTGTCTCCAAACATTTTTAATTTTCTTGCAATTTTTTAAAAATCCACGAAAAAATTATAATTCCGCAAACTTTTTATTTTTGTGCTATTGAAGAGAAAATGCTGAAAGATTGAGCAGCAATCAAGAGTTGAAATAAAAAATGGGCGCGAAGCGCCCTGATTCCCTTGTTATATATATCTTTCTACTATACCTTCCATCACATCTAAAACTCAAGGGAACACATCTTCTCGGTTCTTTGTTAAAATCATTTATTGTCAAAATCTGAAAAAGTGAAGTTGGATAAAAATATTTGTTTAAAGTTTTCATTTTATTTCTGCTGAGAACCATAAATCATCCATCTCTTTAATCCATATTTTGTTTTATTTGACACAACCTGAAGTGCCCGGGGAATTTTTTAAACAAAAAAATTTCGAATAAAAAAAATTTGTATTTTGAGAAAAAAATATTTCAAATTTTGAAAAAAAATTCAAAATGTCAAAAATAAAACACAGTGTCCAGCAATTACAAAAAAAAAACAATAGAAAATGTTCTAGACTTATTTTAAGAAGATATAAATAAACATAGAAATATATCAATACCAGGGCACTTTTCAAAATTTTTAAATTTTTAAATTTTAATCATTCATAAACCTTCCCTGGGAACACGTTAGGTTCCACACAAAATTTGGGACTGATCGGTTCAGCCGTTTCGACGTTTATTGTATACAAACAACCAGACATAGATATGTATATATCTGAGCAAAGAGCTTTATTATATATAAATATATACATATATATCTGAGCGAAGAGTTTATTATATATATATGATGAAAGAGCTTTATCATAAAGATAAAAACTTGATCTTATGAATCTTAAAGTTTATCATGTGAAACCAAAAAGAATTCTACAGAGCGTTTCTTTTTTAAATTTTATTCGGAGGTTAACAGATTATTTTGATTCCATATCTGGACATTTTTGATTTATAGATTTTAAATTTTTATACAGTGAAACCCTTAATAACGAATACATCGAAAGAATTCATCAAATGTCGTATTCTTCACTTTCTGATAATTGAATGTTGCATATATTTAGTTTTTTAATTAAATGACTATATGGAACTCTTTAAAACTGTTCCCGCATATTCATGGCTTTTCATTTATTTTCTCAAATACTGAAATTTACGAAATAAAGTATAAAACTCATTGAAAAATTGTCAAGACGACATTTGATAAATTCTTCCGATGTATTCGTTATTAAGGGTTTCATTGTACCTGATTAAGATTATGATTTTCACACATAAATCTATCTTCTCCACATTGTAAATCCAACTCAATGCCTGGAAAAATCAATCAATGAGAAGGGGTTGAAAAATTGATTTTTTTTATCCCTCGATAATTTCCAAGGAATTGAGTTTTTGCCGCAACCTCAAATTTTCTAATTTCTATATCTCTGCAACCAGTATAAACCTTTGATATTTCAAACTTAGGTTATTTGATCTTACAGAATTAATAGTTTGAAATATCTAAGGTCTATGACATTGGGTGGCCAAGATATAGGGATAAGAATATTTGAGTTTGTGGCAAAAACTAAGTTCACTTTTAACCAATTTCCCCCCAACCTTGTCTTCAGTTTCCCCTATACAAGTCAAACCATTCAAATTTTAAACTATAGGCCAAGAACGTTCCTGTGGTTCCATAATCGAGTCCACAAATTAAAAATTTGAGGCAAATAGGTCTCGGGGCTCATGAGTTATGAGCAGACATCTAAGCAGACAGACAGACAGACAAACAAAGATTACTATAGTAGTAATACTATTTTTGGATGTGGAGAAAAAAAAAACTTAATTATTTTCGAAATTTTTTTTGTCAGTTCTATTCTTGTTTAGAATTTTCCTTTTACTGATGATCATGTAGATAAAGCAGATTTTTTGTTAACAAAATTTAAATTCTTTTTAACAATTTATTTTTTTAAATTTCAAAAGGTTTTTATAAAAGATAATTACAAACTTGTAGAATATTATTTTAAAAGTATTTCAGTGTTACGATAAGTCATGATATTTAAAATGTAAAAATTTTATCTTTAAAGACAACTTAAATAAAACTCTCTAGATTACTCTTATCCACGATAGAAAATTGAGGACTACAAAGTAGCTAGTTTGTGCTTCGAAGGAATTTTGATTTGTCAATTACCGATTTCTCGGAAATAAACACATATCCTTGAGAACTTTTCACACCTGGATTGTTGGATATCTTTATAAATGCAAAAACATTAATTCTCTGTTTTTCTAGATGAATGGATGCATTAGTGGGGAGCTGAATAGAAATTTTATTAATAAAACTTTTCCATCAGTTGGGTAGATAGAAAATATACATATCATTTTTTACTTGTTCTTCTGTATACCTGGATAATCTCCTTTATACCTGTATATCCTCCTATATACCTGGATATTCTCCTGTATTCATGGATATTCTTCTGTATACCTGGTTATTCTTATGTATACCTGAGCCGGCGATTTAAAAAATTCAAGAAAATACGACTCGGGTCTAAGCTGTTGTTGAGCCTTATTTACGGCTCGGGCTTTCGAATTTAAGTTGCATCTATTTTTCAACAGAATTTAGTTCATAAAACCGGTTTAATGTTGTATTTGGCGGATTTTCATAGTTGGAATTGGTGCATTCCGGGTTTTGATGAGAATAAGACCCAACATTGAGCCTTATTCTTCACTAAAACCAACCAAGGTCGGTTTTATTTTCATTGGGCCTAACTCCTTAAGTCG